GGGAAATTTGCGTTGGGTTACGACCAACTCGGGATACGCCCAGAGTCACGGAACGGATTAATTTCGTATCCCGAGGTACCACTGTACATAAAACCAGAGTATATCCAATGGATCGTGCAAACACTAAAATGCATAAGAAGCATACATTGCCGGACATTGTTTCTCCTCTAGCTCAAGAGGCAGATCAGAGAGTAAATTAGTAATGAGCCTAGCCTTTATAAAATTAAATGGAGTGTCTAGATATCGAATTATTTAACGTTAGAGTCAAAAGGCTGTCAGCACGTTCGCAGAGTTCTTTTTACGCAAGCAAAGAAAATTACAGCAAAAGACGTGCCCTTTGCTTCTCATCTCTCGACGCTTCTATAAGCAAGAAAGAGGTTTCTGGGGGGGGAGGTTGTCTCTTGACTCAGAGATGAAGCTATTTTTGCTTATTTAATCTCAAGTGGTTAAAACCACAACACAGAGATCTAGTCATTTCATTGTTTACATTTCATCAGTTTGGGGACTGATGTCTACTCTGACCGATAGAGAGAGCCTCTGTGGAATTGTGGTCCAAGGATGGAAATGTCTTGCTTGCCTCTTGTTCCCGATCAGAGAAGAATTTCGAAAATGGGGAAAGAGGCCCGTTCAGTTGCTCTGCACTGGTTCTTCAAGCTGTAGGCTCCGAAACAGTTTTCCCCAACCTGTAGTTGCTCAGATGTATTGGCGTTCACAAGTTCCCACGCAGGCCGGGTGTTATCCTGCTGATTGGAGGGTAGTCAAGCTTGTCCTGCAACGTGTTTGGAGGTGACCAGGTTGAAGAAAGCCGTGTTGCAATTTTCTGACCATTTTCTTGCCCTGTACTTCTGTTTTTTTTCCCCTCTACCATGTTCTTGAGATGTTCGAGAATCTCTTTGGCAATCTCTTGGTGTTGTTTTTCAGCCTGCAGAGGGTAACCCATCTTTCTGTGACTCTGTGAGTAATTTCCCAGTTTGAAAAAGCCAAAGAGGAGGGATTCCCTTGGAAGTTAACAGAACCATAAAGACTAGGGAGGCTGCAGACCCCTGGTGAGATGAGGGTAGAGCTGGGGTTGTCACCCCCACGATGGAAGAGGCCACTTTGGAATGAACAAAGTTGGGTGTGCAGAATAATCTTCTCTTTCCAACTGAGAACAAGCCATCATGTGCCAGTGCTTTAAGCACACTATTTTGGGTCAACCATGGGCTGGGCAGAAACAAAGCTTGGTTGTTCCAGGTTGCAGGTGCACAAAATCTGCATCGTATCTCACCAGCTGGCCTCCCCAACCCTTCTTTGGCTGATACCACCATTGCTCCTGCACGCCATATCTCATGAGCCTGTCTGTCTGTCTGTCCCCCATCTTTCCATCTTTCTCCCCTGCCTCCCCTCAGCCACGAATATATCTGGCTTTGCCCCCCATTCCTCTCCCCTTTCTGAACTACTGCCTGGGGGAAAAAAAACAGCCCTCCTTCGTTCCATGTGTGGACCAAAAAACATGCGTTTTGGTTCAGGGGCAGATCACCCCCAACCAGCTTTTCCCTGCATGGACTTTTTGTTCCTGCACAAAATGTTTTGAATACCCCTAGAACTAAGACTGGACAAGTGTGAAAATAGGAATAACTGTTTCACACACAAAAAATGGAGTTGGGGCAGTGTTTCTCAGCCTCAGCAACTTTAAGATGGTGTGGGGTTCTTCCCCCCCCATTCTCCCCCCCCCCCACCCCCGCGGGTGGGGGGGGCTGGTGGGAGTAGAGGTCCCACCAAGAGGTGAG